TGACGTGACAATGTGTGTGTAGACAGTGAGCAATTGATCTGCAGTCAGAGAGTATTGTTACGTCTCCGTTTGTTAATTAATTTTCCGTAACTTTGTTCCGACGAAACTTTAGCGACACAAGTCCTTACTTAATAAAACTGGTTTATTCTTTCTGAATATAACTTTACCGATACACTTATTTTCAACGGTCGCTCTTTTACAAACGTTTTAACAACGAAAGTTAACTTCAACAATACTTCCTGACTGCAGTTCAATTACTCACTACCTACACACACACATTGTCAGACCACCCCGCAATCTAGTAAATGCTAGAGCACTCCCGAATGAACGTAATAGTTCTAGAAAGCAAGTGGCGTGACACTAGTCACGTGACCTCGCTAACGCAACAGTATTATTGAAGTTGAGGACGTTCGTTGTTATAGCGTTTGTTTTAGCGCGATTGTTGAAATTAAGTGTATCGTAAAGTTATATTCGGAAAGAATAAACCAGTTTTATTAAGTAAGGACTTATGTCGCTAAAGTTTCGTCGGAACGAATTTACGGAAAATCAATTAACGACTGGAGGCGTAACAGTATTTTGATGAGTCATATATATTGTTGTAGCGTTGTTCTTTTTAAAATTAAATCAACTGGCGAAACATCCAGTATACGTAAGATAATGATAATAAATTACTTCATTCCCCCCTTTAACGTTTCTACAAACTTGAAAGTTTGTATATTGCCACAAATTTACTGTAGGCCTACGTTACAAATGACGTTACCTAGCGTAAAACAAATCAACAGATTTGTAGAAACTAAAGCATGACAGCGAACACCATGACTGGTTCACTCTCTATGTAGCAGACAAACTACCATTTTTTAAAAAACTAACTTACCCCCCTCCTCTCTCTCTAACTAACTACATATTTTAATCTAGTTTCGAATGTGTCAGAACACTATAAATCACATTCTTAGAACTTTCTAATTAGTGTTCTAGGACTCTCCTATTAAATATTTTATCTCAACGTTTTCATTAAAACTTGTAACTCCCTCTAGCTAATATTTAAATTAAAACATTTAAAATATAGCGTATAAAGATATTATTAACAACTATTAAATTTTGACTTAAACTTAGTGTGAGGATGCATCATTTGGAACAATATGAGAACAATTGAAGGTCTACTGCAAGTAAGAACTGCATGAAAGGTCTGAGTCATAAAACACTTTCATACATTTTCCCTTCAGAAACGAAATGAAATATGAGACTTTTGAACTAATGAAGCTATACCCGTGTTTTTCTGGAATGAGGCACTCTTAAAATATAAATATCTATTGCTGTGTCATGTTCTTTCGTTGGACTGGTCCTTTCGAGCTATTTTGATAAAGTAATTCGAAGTGCAGTCCACCTAATAAGAATGAATAAAATTATTTCACGTATCCTGTTTATACACCAGGTTAAGTTCACATTAACAGTCTGCAATTATTTATATTTATGCCGTCACTTCTCGCAGGTCTTATATGTACGAAATAGAGGGCGTCTGGAGAACACTCGAGGCTTCACGAACGGACATGATCTTTCTAGAATCTCATGACGTGTTACTAACGTCACGTGACTTCCGCTGTCGTAAACAATATAATTTACTAGATCTTAACCTCATATAACCTGTGGCTAACGTCTAAATTAATACATTGAAATATAGCTTACAACACCACCCCTTCCACAGTCCCTTGAACAATCCTATTGTAAGAACAAACTGTTAATTAACCAAATCTTTTTTTATGGCTTTCTCGTCCAGGATTTATGATATGCAGATGGTTGGCCTCTTGTCTCTTGTTGTATTGTCATTTGAGAAGTTCTCCCTGGGTAGATGACCGAGTGAATTCACTGGTGGTCCTGTCTCTTTTAACTTTCTGGAAGTGGTCTCGACAGAAACTTAGAGCTCCTTATCAAGTTGACTTTCTGTCGACAAATTCATTTTTGGAGTTACCTAGTTGGCTGTTCTCTCACCAACGTATTTCCAAAGATGATCATGGTGGATGACCTTTGGTTTGGACTTTGGATCACCTCTTGCTCTGGATTATGTAAACCATATCACCGATTGTTTTAGTATAACATAAGGCCTTTTACAACACTTTGTAGTTCGCCCTTACTTACAGGGGGGATTGTACAGTCATACCAAATCACCTGGATGAAATGTGGTCTTATCAGCATTAACATAACAGCGACTTTTCATTTTATCACTGGTTGATTTAAGTCTTTCCCAGGTAAAGTCATGACTTCAGTGGTGCTCTTTAGCCCTCTGCATATTATAAGTACGATTCTTCTGATTGACTATTTTCTGGATGTGAGTACAAAGAGTTCAATAGCACTTTAAGTTATTTCCCAAACATCAATGATCAGGAACGTCGAGAGCCAGCACAGGCCCAGGGGCAAACATCCTCGCCGGGCCCCCCTTCTCTCTATCTTTTTTAACATTTTCAAGAGTTTATTAAAAGAAAATCCTAAATTTGGACAACAACGAGCTCATAAACCAGACAAAATCATAGCAGCAGTCGTTTTTACCTCACAGTAAAAACGTTAATAAAGTAACAATAAATAGCTGTTAAATCTATAAAGTAATAAATACATATAAATTATTACTCAAATTATTATTTCAGTCGTTCTTAATGTATCAAGCGTCTATATGGTTTTTATCATTAAATGAAGATATAACCTAAATATGCTTTGCGGGCTTTACGGCATAACCAGGTTTTATTCGCCCGGGCACCTGGGCAGTTGCT